TGTGCGTGTGTATCTTGTATCTTGTATCTGTTGTATCTCTTGAATTTCTCGCTCGGATGATTCTGTCGGCTGTTCTGTTGCCCAATTTCTGGCTGGCTGTTCTTAGTCTTTTCTTCTTTTTCTTTTCGTAAGAATCTCCGAGAACACGTTTCCTCACACAGCGATCACAGACCTAAAAAACAGGAATGAGAAAAACTTGTTTGGAAAAGTCACAAATGTGCCGCAAAGTCACCTCATGCCTCGATCCAATCCAAGCTTAGTTTTTCAGTTTACTTGGAAACGGAATCGGGCCGTGTATATCTGTGATTCGTCTCCTCCGTTTAGCCAGTGCTTACAGGGAAAACGGTGTGTGTGCGGCGGGTCCAGAGAAAGAAAAAAAGGGTTCCGAGAATAAAGAGATTCTCCGGGCCATTAAAGGTGCCCAGAGATCTGGCCGAGACGTATCATAATTAGCTGGGAGAAAGATCATTAACGATCGCAGAGCGGGACCCCTGTGTCTAATTGGATAACATGAATTTAATTTTATTTTATTTAATTCGGGCGCAGCATCTCCTCCAGTCCGGGCAATCCAAGAACCCGTCGACGAACAAACAACCCAAATTTTTATGGCGACTGGCCAATGAACTTCCCTCTCTCTTCCCATCACATATATTGCATGTGAATTTGTCCAAGACACGATTATATATATTTTGTGGTAGGTTTATTGTTGTCCGAATTTAAGTTTAAGCCCAAGTCTGAGAGTGGGACCGGGGTAGAGACAAACATAATGAAGCCATAAGCCGCCATTTCGGCCATAAACCCATTTGAATATTAATTTTGTTAATTAACTTATTCAAATTCGGGAATCGTTAAAAATGGAAGAATTTCTTTTTATGGCTACAGCTCTATTTCTTCTTCAAAAATACAAAAAACACAGAAAAGAGAGGCAAAGCCAATGAAAGGCTTTATTGTTGGTGACAAAAATACAAATTATTCACGATAATTGCGACACCCACTGGAACGATCTTCCCACGATAATGGAATGATATCTTGGGAATCGGGTTATGGAAAACCGAATTGTTTTTTTTTAAATATTTTTATTATTGTTAAGGAACATAAGTTTTATTGCCTTCCAGACAGGCAGTATTGGTTTATGAAAAAGTAATTATTTTAAAAGGGTTTTATTCTTTTTAAATAGAGCCAAAAATATCCCATTTCGAGCTTCTGAATGGGAGTAAAAATGCCTTTAGTGTAGGAAAGAAACTAAAAGTGCTAGAAGCAAGCTCATAGCTTCATTTTACTCGCAATTTTTGCATACAACTTTTGTAAATCTTTTTAATAATTACTTTATTTTAATTTTTAAACTCAAACTTAAATCTAATATACAAATCCTACCCCCGATCATCTCATTTCTTGCCCTGCAAAAAGAAAAATGCATTAAAAACTGCAAGCACTTGGGCAACTTTATTCCGAACAAATCGTTTGCGTTTCCCATTTTCCGTTTGCATTTCCATTTCCCTTCATTTTCATTTTCCTCCCGACAGAAGGAACTGCAGTCAAATGATTTTACGAGAGAACTGAGTGCGATCAAAGCGAAAGCGAAACTCTTGAGGGACACATGGGGCCAGTTGCTCCTCAGTTCCTCGGTTCTTCCACTGGAACGGGATGGAGTGCAGTTGGGCATGAAAGTACAGCAGACATTCGAAGGGCAGGAGAGTTGACTTTGACCCTGACACCGCCTTTGGGAGATCCAAAGTGTGTGTGTGTGTGTGCTTGTGTGTTGCACAATGCAAATGCGAAACGAGAAACAAATTTTACGACGTGTTTGACGGCTGTCTGTCGCTGCTGTCTGCGTGTCTCCTTGTCTTACTGACTCCGACTTCGACTTCGACTTTGACCCATTCCCTTTCCCTTTCCCGTTTTCTGGCGACCGGCGACCGGCGCTCACTTCCGCAACGACTTGAGCCCTCTGTCCCTGCGGGAAATCGCGGCATCCTTCATCCTGCGTCCTGTTGCCACTCTGTCACTGCCCTGCCTCGTCCCTGGTTGGCTGCCAGTTTAGCCTGCATTATTACCTGCGCGGTGTCAAATGCAAACAAGACGTTTGCGCCGGCCATAAACTCGGTCATCCTCTTGCTCTTCTTCCCTGATTTTTTTGTTCTCACAGAACTGGGAAAATGGCCAGGGCCATGATGAGTGGCGCCTCGCTGTAACAGGCCTTTATTGATGTTTTAGTTTTCAACTTTTTTGTATCTTTTCTTCTTTGCAGTTCTTAACTCTGGAAGAAAGCAGATCGGTGGAGTAGATCCCTCCCAGATTCAGCAGCAAGCGGTGCAGACCCACCAAGCACCGTTCTAGCAACAACAATCAGCGGTGGCGTCCGGCCAAAACCACCTCGTTGCGCCGACCGCGGCGAGCATCTCTCCCACCAGCGTTGGTTCCCATCCTACAGGTAAGAGTTTCAACTGATTAATATATGTACTTGTATGATGAGATAAGTACTATATAGCTTTAAGATCGTAGAGGTGATTGCTTAAATTTCGACGATAAAAAAGGGGGAACTAAAATCTATATAGTTAGAAGGATAGGATTTAGAAAGATAGAATAGGAAACATAAGTAAATTTATCAATTTAATTTATGAAATAAAAATACAAAATAAATAAGAAATATATCTTCAGATATTATAGATTATTAAAAAGTATTTTATTATTCTTAAATTGGTTTTTTTAGCATTAAAATCTTTGCTGATACTTAAAATTTAAGTCATTTAAACCATAAACAAACTTAAAAGAAGAATCGTTTAAAGGTTGCACTTTAAGAGATCCTTTAATCTATAAACTAAAAACAAATTAACAGAGTATTCGTTTTAAAGTGATAAGAATAAAATATGAATTTAAGAACCATAATATCTATAATTTTCATAAACGAGTTAGCATAATCGTTTTTAGCAAAAAACTATTTTGTTCCCATTAGCTGTTAAGACTTCTTAAAACATTTTTGTAACTCAAAGCAGTTTTATCACTATCACTATACATAGGCTGTTTAATATTCAAAATGAAAGTTATCACATCTGTTTGGATATAAGAAATTATAATATTCAACTTGATATCCGACATTTTCCTTAACCCTTGCATAAATCTATTATTGTAATTGCCGAGGATGGATTTTTATGCGTTTGTACATACAATTTTGGTGTCAAACGGGTTGAGAGTTCTTCCGGTGGCGTCCTTTTTACGATTTGTTAACATTTCTGTGCCCTCAACTCGGCGCCTTTTCTTTGCTTTTCTTGCAATGCCAACAATTGCCATAAAATTCCCATAATTGTCCATTGCAGCGTTAAATTTGGCAACTGCCGTTTGCCGTTCGAAGCGGGAAAGGGAAGGAAACTCGAAGAGTTCCTTAGAGGAGTAGAAGATATAGGGGTGAAAAGAAGTCCAAGGGTTTCTTGACAATTGTTCTGTCATAATTTGCTCACTGAGCTGGCGCACGCATGTATTTGTTTAGCTAATTAACATTAATTAGTCACTTTCGTTTTGATGACTGGATTAATTAGTTGGGATCCTCATGGAGAACATTGTTTTGTTTTTATCTTGAGTCTTGCTGCTGCTTGGCAATCGATAAAAAAAGCGCCAACTAACTACATACAATGTCGTGTGCGACCTACCACGCCTCCTTGCCCCCGAGACCCATCCCAAATCTCGGCCATAGATGGCGCTGTGGTGCGCGCGTGTTAAGTATTCAAATCAGCCCCCAAAAACGGTCAATAAGAGCGGTGAGTCAGAGAGCATTTTGGTTTTTGTTTTTGCCAAAGAGCAAGAGGCCTTCACACGTACACTGTGCGTGTGTGTTTCGCCCTCGATGACCCTCGGTGACTTGGAGCACCTGCTGAGCTCAGCGAATTCCAGAGCCAGTCCTAGTCCAAAGGCGATACCATCTTTTCTACCAAACTGGCTAGTTGAAAAAGTGGTATTTTTTCCCCCCGAGCAATATTTGAGAACTCTCTTTGACTGTCCCCTCTCAAGCACACACACACACAAACACTCATTCAGTCTGGGATCCACACGGATGATGTATACAGTGTACGTGTGCATAACGCGCCACAAGAGAGCACGAGCACGAGCAAGGCAGCAGCTAGCAACTTAGCAACCACCACCACCAGCAGCAGCAGCAGCAACATCAACGGCACAGCAGCAACATCGGCGCATGTCCGGGCTCTCTTTCGAGTCACACGGACAGGGAGACACACATATGCACACTGAAGCGGGCTGGCGCCGCTGCCTTTTGTGCTGGCCTCTTGACTCTTAAGGCGAGAGAGAGAGAGAGAGAGTGCGAGAGAACGCCACCGCTTCTGGTTCTGTGTTGTCGGTGTGCCAGCGATATGTTGTCGCCGTGCCTTGCTGCCTGTCAGTGTAGATTTGTGCTTCGCTCTGTTCGGTTGGAAGGCGCGCGGGCGTCCAGCAGCAAAAGCAACAACAGCTACAACACCAATAACAGCAACGCCAAACAGCACCCAAGACAAGCGGCCCTGCAACTTCGTCCGAGGACTGGGACTTGAGCGATTTCATATTCGCCGTCCATTCAGCTGGGAGTCTTTCGCTGGCGCGGTTCAAAAAATACAACCTGAGAATTAACAATCAGAAAATAAAACGCAAACGTTTTTAAAGTCGTTAAAAATATAAAAACCGAAAAGCTGAAATCAAAATCAAAGTCAAAATAAAAAACAGCGAGTCCCCCGGCGATGTTAGGAGAAATAATAACATTTTTGTTAACTGTTGCAAACATTGCGTTTAATTGTTTGTTTTGGTCGTAAAATCAAATTTTATGACCAGCAACATAAAAAGCGAACGCCAGCAGCAGCAGCAGCCGCAGCAGCAATAACAACAACAACAACTTCTGCAGGCCCCACAAATAATAATAAACTATTTATGATAATTATAAAAAATTAAATGAAAAACTAAAAACAAAGACCAACCAAAAAGAAAACAAAGTGAAAATTAAAACTTTAAGCTGCAAAAGAGAAAATAAGAAAATTGGAAAATTGTTTTGGAAAATTGGAATAACCAAATAAAGGAAACTGAAAAAAGCCAATTCGAAAATATTTCGTGACTTTCTGGCTGCCGCGAACACCCTGTGAAACCGAAACTGATTCGATCCCCTGTGCAACAACAAAGTGACTCTCTTCGCCCTCTCTTCGGGCACTGTGCGTGTGTGAGTAAGTCGGCGTGTGCGTGTGACCGCTGACAGACGTCTGTGTGCGTGTGCGGTACGCAAATAAAAAGGGGCAGCCAAAAACTGCTTTGGATATTAGAAAAAAAAAATCAAAATCAAAAGCTACTAAAAAATATTTACAAGAAATTTTAAAAATTTAAAAAACCATCAAGTGAGGGAGTGAGAAAAAAGACAGAAAGAGACAAAAACAGAGACTGGTCGGTGGGTCGAGGCGATCGACCCCACTGCACCGCCCTAACCCTCGCCGCCGCAGTTCGAGTGCAACGCGTCCAAGATAACCGTAAATATTCCACCCCTCCCCCAGACCCCAACCATCCCGCTGGCGTGCGCTCTCTACGACCCCCACGATGTCTCGGCAGTCGGGTCGCACGCCGCTGCCGGGGCGTGGTGGGGGCATCACACACACACCCACACCCACGTACCCACCGCCCACCCGCATCCGCATCCCCAGGCGCATCCCTCCATGCCCGCCCTGCAGCAACACCACCTGCAACAGCAACAGCAGCAGCAGCAACAACAGCAGCAGCAACAGCAACAGCAGCAGGAGCAACAACATCTGCAGGAGCAGCAGCAGCATTTGCAGCAACTGCATCATCATGCGCACCACCACCTGCCTCAGCCTTTACACACCACCAGCCATCACCACAGCGCGCATCCCCACCTGCAACAGCAACAGCAGCAGCAGCAACATTCAGTCGTCGCCTCCTCGCCCTCCTCCGTGCTGCAGCAGCAGCAGCAGCAGCAACAACAACAGTCAACGCCCACCACACATTCCACGCCCACGCATGCGGTCATGTACGAGGATCCTCCGCCTGTGCCAATTGTCGCCGTGCAGCAGCAACATCTCCCCGCTCCACAGCAGCAGCAGCTCCAGCAGCAGCAACAGCAACAGCTGGCGACAACACCGGTGGCCGGCGCCCTTAGTCCCGCCCAAACACCCACTGGACCCTCCGCCCAACAACAACAACAACAGCAGCAACATCTCACATCGCCCCACCATCAGCAACTTCCGCAGCAGCAGCAAACCCCAAATAGTGTTGCCAGTGGCGTCTCCGCGAATCTCCAGCAGCAGCAGCAACAGCAGAATGCTGCCGTTGCTCCTGGCCAGACCCAGATCGTTGCGCCGACCACGGCGAGTGTTTCTCCCTCCAGTGTTAGTTCGCAGAAGGAAGGTGAGGTCCCAGAAATATTTCCTACTTTTGGGGGAGATTTTCCTATTAGAAAACTAACAGTTTTTGGGAAATCTCTTTAGGAAAATCTATTTCTTTGCTTTAAATGAAAAATATTTTTGTATCTTGGCGTTTCGAAATTGGGTACAGGGCCGTTGCACTCCTCAATTTGTGTCGCAGTTGCTTTGAGTGTTCCAGTTTTCTTGATTTCAGCACGCTTGGAAAGGCTGATAAGGGTTTTCTTGACCTCCGCTAGGAATCGTCACGGCTTTTATTTGATAAATGGAAAAAATATATTCTCTTCCCTTTGGGCCAAAAGATGTTCTAACCATAAAACTTTTTAATAAGAATATTCTTGTTGCCAATTTCCTTTTTTCAAACTTTAAAATTCCTTAAAAAAACTATATATAAAAATATTTATTTTTAATATTTGTTAAAAATTTCAATTTTATTTTATTTATCGATTTAGCTCAATCTTGTTCTTAAGTTTGATAGACTCTCTGTCTATTTCCAAAAATGTTTTGTAAACTATTTTTTGGTTTGCTTATATTTTTGGAAATATTTTTAGAGGATATATACTCGTCTGTAATTTTAATTATTCCTTACTTTGCTCATTATTTAAAAATGTATTTTATAAATAAGATTAATTCCCAATAATAAAAGATAAAATTGTTATTAGGAAAATACAATATTGCTGCAGTTTCATGGCTCCCAAAAAATGTATTCAAATTGTATAAAAAGCTATAACCTTAAACTACTTAATTTGTATCTACATTTTCACATAGAAAGAAAACTCAGGAAGCAAATGTCAAGTAGCCCGTGAGAGAGGTCAAAATATAAGCAATCACAAGCAGTCGTTAATTTTAGATTTACCTGACTTTGAACAAATACTAATGGCAACCAAATCGCGATCTCCATTTACTTTCAGACATCAATATGTCCATCCAATTAGCGCCACTGCACATACCCGCCATCAGGCCCGGTCCGGGTTTCGAGACGGACACCTCGGCCGCGGTCAAGCGTCATCAAGCGGCGCACTGGGGCTACGCCGATGAGGGATTCCACCAAATTCCAAACTACGCCTCTACAGGGTGCTATGACCGCAAGCACATTTTTCCCTACCCCTATCCAGACCCCCAGTATTCGGTAAGTGTCCGAGGTTGTTACACCCCAAAACCACCCACTATCCTAGTTATTTTTACTTTTTGTGTCATAAACAACTTTAAATTCCAACCCAACCCCTTTTCTTTCCTCTTCAGCAGTTGTGCTGGCCCAACTACCGCACTGATCAGAATGCGGCGGCGGCGGCCTACATGAACGATGCCGAGCGCCACGTGAGCGCCGCTGCCCGACAGTCCGTCGAGGGCACATCGACGTCCAGTTATGAGCCGCCCACCTATGCTTCGCCAGGCGGACTGCGCGGCTATTCCAGCGAGAACTACCCCAGCTCAGGTGAGTCTCCAAAACTTAGAAGTGAAGCACGTTTGGGAGGGAATAAGCTTAAAAACACAGGAAGAAATTTAGATAAACTTTGAAAGTTTAAATTAATTTTGATTTTCAAAGGAATCTATTCTAGTTTCTCAAAAATTGTTTGGAAATCTTAAAAAAAAATGAAGTATATAAAAATATTAATTTTTTATTAAAAAGTCAAGAAATCATGAAAGTCTAACTGAAAGTTGATTAGAAAAACATAGAAAATGGGCAAAACATAAATCATTTTGGATTGAAATTTGATTTTTCATTTATTTTCATTTCAATTTCAAAAGTCTAAGAAATTTAACCAATTTTTATATGACAAATTTGCATATTCCCTCATAAAGTTCAAAATGATAACAGATTTTTCTCAGTGCATTCAACGTCTGCTGTTGTTGTTTTGCCATTTTGTCACCGTATCGGCTGTAATAACGAATTGCGAATTGCGAAACCGGCAAGTTTGTCGTTCAATTAGCGCAGTGCAAAACAGGCCATAAATCGATTCTACCTATTTGGCTAGCGTTACGCCTTAATGTGGGTGTGAAAGTCGTTGGAAGTGCATTCTATGGGGGCTGCCGCCTGCTTATGTTCGTGTCTTATCATTCAGAAGTTTTCAAAGAGTCTGAAGAGTATTTTCCCAGGGATTTCCCGGCAGTAATAGTAAATATATCAGAGAAGCAACCTTAACAGGCAGTTTTACAATCACAGAGAAGGTCTCACAGGAACTTTAAGTCGATGGTAGATAAATTTAATAACTAAAAAAAAGATTAAATATTTAAACACTCTCTTCTATCATTTAAATAAAAATAAATCCAACTTGTCACTTTATTTCCACATCAAATTAATCGCTTCATTTGGGGCAACCAATGAGCGTGAACGAATGTATTCATTAGGCGTTGCCCATTCGGGTGTGAATATGGGCCTCATGCCAATTGGGAGCTCCGCTCCGCTCCTCGTACCGCACCAATTAAGTGCCCATAAACGCTGAATTGAATAATTTTGTATAACGCTTATTGCTAAACAATTTCCTTAATTGCTCTATAAACTTAACGATCTGATATTGCAACCAAAACCGAAAAACAACAATAACAGCAGCGGACCACCCGCAGTTTCTGATAAAAAAAAGTAAAACCCAAAGTTTAACCCTTAAATTGAATGCTGTTTTTCAGGAGCCTCTGGTGGCTTGTCTGTGGGTGCAGTGGGTCCTTGCACACCCAATCCTGGACTGCACGAGTGGACCGGTCAGGTGTCTGTAAGGAAAAAGCGGAAGCCCTACTCCAAGTTCCAGACCCTGGAGCTGGAGAAGGAGTTCCTCTTCAATGCGTATGTCTCCAAGCAGAAACGCTGGGAACTGGCCAGGAACTTGCAGCTGACAGAGAGACAGGTAAGTGATTGATAGTTAAGGATCTGAAGATCTGATTTCTTAATGATATATCTCCTGTTTGTAGGTCAAAATATGGTTCCAGAATCGACGCATGAAGAACAAAAAGAACTCACAGCGCCAGGCCAATCAGCAGAATAACAACAACAACTCGAGCAGCAACCACAACCACTCGCAGCCGACACAGCAGCATCATAGCGGCCACCACCTGAATCTTGGCCTGAACATGGGACATCATGCCGCCAAGATGCACCAGTGACCCTTGGACAACAGCAGCGCTGGCGCCATGGGCTTTGCCACCTACTAGCAGTTAGCCAATCCGAGTTCGGTTAATCCCAACTCGAATCCCAACCCCATTTCCGATCCGAACCATCATCATCTAATCAAAAACGAGCTGGCCATGGACTTTCCATGTTAGCCCCACGTTAGAGATAGAGACTCCAGCCAGGCCGAGCTCAACTCGGTTGAATTGTACAAAAAGAAAGAAAGTCAAAGAGATCTCTAGGATGCGGATATCGAGAGAGGTAGGAAGGAGAAGGAGAAGGAGAAGGAGGAGGAGAAGCAGCTGCCCAGATGCGCGCAGGCGTCGCTGATGAGTGACCAACCGGATGGATGATGGACACGTAGTTAGTTATTAAGTCAGCTCTATGGATCTACCAGATGTAGAACCCACAACCCAACACGATAATGCAGCTTAGTTCGGTAGATGAATATATAGATACGATCGTAAGATGATGATCCAGCAGATGCACTTGAAACTTGGCAACTGTACGAAAATATATGTATATGTACGCTCTCTCTATCTCTCATTAAACTAGGCGAGCACTATGAATTTTCCGAACTATAAATTATGAATATGAATATATATATATATATATGAAACTTAAACGTCAGTGAATATAATCCCGCATAAATTATGACAAACGCGTTCGAGTAGTAGATTTTACCATAAACTATCCATTTAAGAGTTAGGCAGAGCAGAGCAGAGCAGAGCAGAGCACATTGTAGACCCAGATAAAATGTTCTTAAAAACAAAATAAAATTGTTTAACAATTTTTTCGGATCGAAGCCCCTCTCCCATCTCAACACCTAACTAACACACACACTCACACTCCGCAGTCTAGGATAAATTTTGTCGTGTAATGTTCGTCGTGTCGTGTCCTTTGATACCCTCTAAGTTCCTGTATATAAACTAAGACATCGCCCTGATTTCCCAGGCGAAGCAAGCACTCGATAACTAAATTTAAAAACCAGAATTATATATATGGCTGATAAGCAAGAGATATTCAATATTTGTATGATATGAACTCGAATTCGATTTTAGCAAATGGTTAATCGTAAGAAGCAAACGAAATTTCAATGAGTGTGTGCATGTTTACTCCATAGTTGAAGTCGCTTTCGAATTAAACTTAAAACTAAAACGAAAACTAAAACTAAAAACTAAAACAAAAAACTACTCGTAAAGCTAAAGCAACAAAAAGAAAAACTAAAAACTAAAGAGAAAAGTACATTTTACTGATTGATGTAAAGAGAGAGAGAGCAGAGCGAGTGATGTAAGAGAGAGTGTGAAAAAGATGTTGGAGATGGGGAGATGTCGAAGAGGAGGACGAGAAGTAATTAGCATACCGTAACAGCTACTTATATAACTTACACATAGTACATATATATAGTAATCGTACATATGCATACATATATTTTCATGTGTATCGACCGCCGCTTGATCCTGATATTAAGTCTAAGTTTAGTTGTGTTGTGTAATTATCGATTTTGTTAATGTTTTGCCCCCGAGCATTATATTATATATGCTAGAGAACCCTATACCTATGCCTATATACACCTAAACCTACAACCACTACACCTATGCCTGTCATTACATGTGTATGATTAGCCTATATACAAACTTGATGATGATGATTTTCACACCCCCTCCACACCCCCAAAACTGCTTTATTCATGTTCTTGTATTATTATTATTTCTAAACCCTCGATAAGTTGTAGTCTAAATATCGGTTATGTTTATGATTATGTTCGATTATAGTTTGTTTAGTGAATTTTAATCTAGCGTTAGCAATTCTCTTTTTTAAAAAGTTAATTATTGTGAATAAAATACAACAAGTTGCAGAAGTGCAAAAATATACACACACACACACACGCACATATAACTATCTTCGCGGTATCAAGTTTTCCATTCCCCCTTTCTGATTTTTCCCAACTAACTATTTCGGTAAGTACGCCCATAGAGGAGGATGTTACAGACACATCGCAAGCGACCTCTCACCATCGAATTTATTCATAGACATCCAGATACTCGTACTCGTACAGAGCGTTAAGCAAAAGATACGTATGTACTGCACTGTACTTACTCGTAAGCGGTTCAGTAATCAGTGATCAGCAATCGACACACTCTCAGCCAAAAGAAAAAGAAAAACGGAAAAAGCTTTCTGATCATCCAAAATACACTTTCTAAACAAATTTTGAATTTTTGAGAATTTCTTACTTTCCTTTGGTTTTCCCTGATTTTTCGTTTGGTGACTTTTCTTTGCCAGTGGTATTGTAAAACAGCGCTTAAATAAATTAAAACTAGAATTAATAGTCTTGTTTCGGCATATGTCTTAAGATTAAATAAATTATTATGTAACTGTGTGTTTTACTCAACTTTTCTTGATCTTGCAAAGTGCCAAAGGTAGGTATTTATCAATGATAATGAATTATTATTGTGGGTATTAACTTTCTAATGTTACTTATGAATATTCATTGACTATCTATTCCATTAGCCTTTATAGTATAAAGTATTAAGTTTAGTATAAAGTTTATAACTTCAGGGTGGCAAATTGTTAATTGACTATTAAAGAAAAGGCTTGTTGAAATTCCGAAAGTTAAGCTAGTTGTTGGCTAGTTAATGACCGTCATATATCACTTTCAGACAAATTAATTTCATTTAACGTTTACAAGTCGTTTAAGGTGGGTTAGGCAGGTGGCACTTCAATAAATTTTATTAAATTTAATAGAATTTGTATTTTGGTTGGAACCTTTTAACCGTATCACTGCCTGAGCTTACCAAGAAATTTGGTTGGATTTAATAATTACTAAAAAATTGCATTGGAAATTTTGACACATCAGTCAGTTTTGGGTTTGGAAGGCCTAATAATGAGTAGGGAAGTTATACCTTTTGGCGTAAAGATATCGGCATATAAAGTTTTATTTTCTTGTTGACATTTAAGGGTGGATCTTTGAGCTTATAGATGCTTTTAGTCTTAACTTTCCTGTTAAAGCCTAATACTAGTATTCAATCGACTTGAGAATATTTTAAACTTTTTCGATAATTATTCTTAAAAGAGTCTTAAAACTAGAATGTCGTATAAAACATCAATTTATCAAGACATCAACGTGATATTCCTATATTTTATGGTTTTTTTCTGTCAAATCAAGTTTTTAATTTTAAATTTTTTTTAAACAATATTTAGAAACAGAAAGTTTGCTACAAATGTGAACTGAATAAAACAATTTTTTTTATAGTTAATAATTTGATTTTATTGACTAACATTTAATATTTTTATATATTTATTTTAAGTTTGAAAAAGATAACTAATTTGGTTGCAGAGAAGGTTTAGCTTCTGAATACTCCCAAAAACTTAAACAACTTTACAGGTGTAAGCGGATGGTTAATAAATCTAAAATATACAATAAAATTAAGGCCACTTTTTTATAGTAATTATAGTGTAATGCAAGGTTTATAAATAATATTAAATAATTTTCTAAAAATATAGAAAGAAAACAGTTATTAGAAAAACTTCGTCATCTTCGAATTTGTTTATAATATCAGTTCCTAATGAGCTGCGCAATATTGTTTTTAGAAACCAACAAATCATTATCGAAATGAAATATTTGCATAGATAATTGCCTTCTCTTTGAGCCATAAAACTAAGTCCCGCAATCTCATGTTTGTTTAAATGGCATTCAACCCCTGTCAAGGGGTTGCTCGTAGATACATCTACGGGTATGTACCTTCTCACACACAGATGTATCTACTACCTATATAAATTTAAATAAGTTTTCATCGATGCCGAGCTTAGAGGCTTCGGGGAGGAAAATGCCATTAAATGCACCCTGCTATGTAAACACTGGCATTTCCCCTCTTCGAAGGCTCGCAGTTTGCGAGATAAAGTGCCTCGGTTCTCGGTTCTCGGTTCGGTTTCATGCGTTTTTTATGTTATGTACAAGGCGACGCTTTCACCCATCGAACAGCTTTCTTTGAGTGGAAATGGGGGATGGGTTCGGTGGGTGGTTGCGTCCAATGAAATGAACAACCCCCGTCAGCCAAGTTACAGTTTTCAGCGTGGTGGGAGAACTTTAAAATAAATCGATGGAATCCTTAGAATGTTCAATTGCCGCTTTCAAGATTTTTCATTAGCTTTCACGCTTGCTGGAAAAATTTTCAGTTAACTTACGAATACAGATTTTTAAAAGCTAGCAAACTTAATAATTTTAATTTAATTATTCTAGTTTTCTATTCAAAGGAAATAGGCTGTAAGGCCAAATATTCCCAGAGTTTATGGATTTAAATTGATAACCAAATTTCCCAATATAAACACTTTTTACTTGAAAGTATAACAACCAAACACCATTTTTCATATTGGGGCTGATTTAGTGTTCATAGCAAAATCAAAGATAAAAGATTAACTAAAAAATTAGTTTAAAGCAGTCAAACGGAAATGTCTCAAAAAATATTATTGTTAAAAATTTGTCGGTTTATAATATGTCGTTATAACATTTTTGTCATTCAGCTGCCTTTCGATTAACTTGCTTAATAATATATGAGAGTTTTATCCAACACAAATAAAAATATGTACGTTCTTCTTATTGAGCAAATCAGAACATTGACTAGCCATAATTATAATATATTTTCTTAGTGTTTAGTGATAAATAAGTCAAAGCAGACCGAATAGCAAAATTTTGAAATGCAATTTTATCTTTTTGATTTTTGGACTGTACACCAACTTTTTGAAATCTCAAATTGTAATCAAAGTAAATCTTTGGCAATTAAATTACAAGCACAGCAAGGCTTTTAAAACACGGTCACGTTTTGGAGAATAATCAGGATTGACCAAACTTTGTATTTTTTATCAGGTTACATTATCTTAATTTTGCCAAAGTTTCAGATTTTAAGGCGTGAATGACAATACGAGCTATAGCATTTCATATTTTTTTATCTTTTTGGCGTTGTTATGAATCAATTTAAAGCATATTTACAATTTTTTATTGGCTTTTAAAATAAAAATTAGTTACAATTAGTTAGTTAAATGAACAGCTAAAATAATTACTTTATTGAGCAGCTAAAAACCAAAACTTAACATTCCGGCTGATTTTAATAATTTAACTTTTTGAACAAAAATGCGAAATTTGATCAATTTTTGCAGTAATGACACAAAATTTACCTTTAACCTTTAAACTTGGTCTTGTCAAAATAGGGGTTTTTACTGGCGCAAACCAGAATAGCGTTCTTGAAGAACATTCGAAATATTTTTTCAAAATTTTTAAGTTATGAAATAGTCAAAACAGGTCGCAGAGAAAAAAGAACGAATTTTTTTGCAGCTAACGACCAAAACGAACTATTCCTATCATTGTCTGGATAAGATTGAAAAATATATTTTGACCAATTTGGACATTTCCGATAAGGGGTAAGTAATCTTTTATGCAAAAAAGGCCACCATTCCAGTTTTCCGGGCTTGAATGGAAATCTAAAAAGGAATTAAATTTCCAGCTTATGGAGGTATAAATTTCAAAATTTGGACCATATTCGACTTAGATATGGTCAAAACGCTGTCACGGCGTGGAAAAAGAAGTAATTATATTTTTCTTAATATTTTATTTTCGAAATACTAGGAAAAGTCTAAATGCATTAAATTAGAATGTTTGTCAGATCCTGCAGCATTTTTCTGGTCAATACTTTAATTATTTTGATTAAAAAAAGGTGAAAATGTTCTTGTGTTATTAAAAAAGAAAACTTGTTATTGATCAAAAAGTCATTCAAATCCTTAAGAATGTAAAATGTTAAAGTTGAAAAGAAAGTTAATGGTAAGAATATATATTAGCAGGATTCTGTGTGAGTAAGGAAGTGTTTTTTTATGGTTAAACAATTCAGAAAAATAGCTGCCGAGTTCCCAAAAAAGCAGCCGATTCTTCGTTTAAGTTTCGCTAAATTTATTTTCAGTTAAGATAATATTTGCCCAAAAGGTGTTTTATCCACCATATAACTTCTATGAAATACAATTCGGATATCTTGAGAGCACTGAGGGTTAAAAGAGACTTTTCACCCGAGGGATCCATGCCGAATTGGCGGCATATGCGGGGTAATGGTAAAAAGTTGTCGCAAAGTGCCGGAGGATGGCTGAGAATATGTACCTAATTCAATACGATTCGATCTGGTAATCAAAAGATAAGCGAGCGGACGAACCCCAGACGGGTGGGATACAGATACAGAGGCCATTGGGGGTTGAAGAAGTCAGATGAGCAGAATGTCGAAGGAATAACAATCAAATGATTAGAGAATATATATATATATATATATCTGTATATATATAAATGCAACAACAACCACCGAGGTGGGAAACTGGATTTCAAAATTGACTCGTCGTCGATGTCGTCAGCCTCGCTGCGCCTCGCCTCGAATCCAGTCTCTCAGTTGGCCTTTTCGGTTCAAATTTTCAGTTTCAGTTTCAGATTGAGATTCAGTTTTCAGTTCTTTTCGGGTTGAGCGACGTTGACGGGGCCTGGGACTTGTTTCGCACATAAAGATACAAATGTATCTGCGCCCAGACAGCAAATGGCGTATATAAAATGATTGGACATGAGTCGGTGTAGTGGGTATGTGTGTGTTTGTATATATATGGAGACGAGGTGGTTGTTTCGTTTACAAGCTATATGAGAACGTAGAGTAAGTGAGATGGGGCTATACTCTGGGTGAGAGAGAGAGGCAAGATACACGCGCGTTTTATGACCCGCCGCGTTGCCTTTTGCCGCCGCTTCTCTTGGCTTTTCATCTTTTGGCATTGGGTCTTCGCTTGGCATTCTCATTCTCATTTCCTTGGCGTTGGTTCTCGCAAGTGTTGCCATCGTGGCAGCGCTGCCCGGGTTTACGACCTTCTCCATCCCACTTTACCCTTCCTGGGGTCTCTCTGTTTCTCGATTCTCAGTTCTCATTTCTCGACTTCTCTGTTTTTGTGTGTGCCATGCTCACCTCGCATCCTCACATCCTCAGGGAACAACACAAGCTCGCCGGCATCTCCTCGACAACCACCTCGGTATATCTGTATCTATGTATCTATATATCTGTATCTGCGTCGACTGCGCTGCAACCGAACTGAACGAACGAACCCAAGCGCGCCTTGTGTCAAAGTGAACAGCAAATATTATTTTTTGGACACTTTGCCATCAGGTCGCCGTCGCGTCGCCCGGAGCTAAAAACCGACCGACTCTTGTCCTGCTCCCCCGGTTTTTTGGGTAACCATTGTCCTGCCAGCAGCTCCTGGAGTTCCCGTTTGTCGCATTCGAGGTCCGACTGTGGGTCCCGGAGCCACGGCCTTTGTCTTCTTCAACGACGACGGCAGCAACGGCAGCAACGGCGGCTGTGGCAACAGCAACGTTGCATCAATTGTGTTTAATTCAAAAACCGACAACAAAAGCCAGAAACGCTGCCAAAGAGAACCCGAAAATATATAACCAAAAAAAGTAGAAAAAGAAAATGAAAGAAGTGGCTGTAAATCAAGATGAGCCGGTTCGGGTTCGTTTGTTGCCAAAAAAAAAAAGAAAGAACGAAATACAAGAATTAATTATAATAATGACAAAGAACAAGCACTTTGACCCCAAACCTCGCGTCCGCATCCGCATCCGCACTCGCATCCCCAACCGCGCGCGTTCGTTTTGGCCAATTGTGAATGTCGATTACAATTTCGCGTGTGTGCGAGCTGAGCTGAGCTGAGGTATAAATAAAAAAAAAATGTATAAGAAAAATGGAAAAAGGCCAGAAAAACACACAAGAAAAAAATGAATTTACCAGCATTTCCGCCTTGCGGTTTCGCCAACCGAAAAGGAGGCCGGTGGTGGTGCAGCTTTCAGGCCTGGCTACTCGAGTGCGCGGGGCGTGACTTCAATTAAAGTGATTTGTGGCCTCCGTTTTTTGACATACGAGACGTAAATAGCGGCCCTGAATTATGGTGCTGCTAAAATATGTATATTGGAACATAGTCCTCGGCCGAACAAACACTCCCAAGTCACGCATCTCGGCCTGAAATTGCCTCTAAAATGGCTAATTGAAGGCTTCTTATTCGAGGTGAGTACAGCTGATACAATCTATTGTTAGTCTTTGTATTGTTATAAGCACGGAAGTTCTATAGGAATTAAATTTATCAGAAGATAAGATGGTAGTTGAATGTATAACATTAACCAAAAAGTACTAGGCATTACTACTTCGAACTTTGCAAGCAAGATATTTTCGTCCGATAGTTTTAAATTTGACAGATTTTATCTTACAAAAAGCGACATCTCCCGTAAGTGCCAAGAACTCGCATTACATCTTTCTAAAAAAGTTAAATTGAAATTGTTTTAAAGAATGTATAAGTAAAATGCGCTTTTCTAATTAATATATATAATTATTCTTTTTTCCTTGACACCACTTCCTTCCAAACTCGAAATGTTCAAACACAAGGCGGCAAGAAGTCCTCTTACATACTTCCGATTGTTTTACATAAATTAAGATAAATTCAGTATTAAAATTATTTAAATATTCTTACTTCCTTGAATGTCTTAGTTAACTATTTTTATTCACGAATAATTTTTAAAAAAACTTTCTTGCGAATTACTCCTCTCAACTTAACTGCAATTATTACTCACTCTTAATATAAAACCAATCATAAGCACATCTTGGTAATATGGGAGATGGTATGCAATATCTTAGTAGCTTTTGGTAATGAAAAGCTACAATATCTTAAACAAATATGAGATTTAAACAAACTAAAAAAGCCTATTAGTAAAGTTTATAAGTTGCATTACCAATTAGGCAACCAGACAAGAGTCAATGTCCTAGATGGGCTTTCCTTTTCAAAATCCCTTTATTTCCAACCTTTTTTTGGTCCTGTCAAGAATCACTTCTTTTTCTCGGACACTAACTATAAGCAGAATGAATACATTACCATCAGTTTCCGGAAGGCAAACAAAATTTGAATGGCAGGTAGAAATTAGTTAAAGGGTTTCTACTTCTCCTAGCAATGATTTATGGAAGTGCGAAGGGAAACCCGCTGCGCGGGCGAGGCGAGTGACGTAAAATGCGGCTGAAATCCGCAGGATTTGGCAGGATTATGCTGATGACAATCCGGTTCAGGTCACTGCCAGAGCCCGTCTCGAAACCGTTTCTTAACCCGGCGAAAGCGTGAAGACGGGTCATTTATGGTCATATCATAAACAGTTTACAGCAGCTCGGGCCTCAAAATATTTTGGTCCGAACAATGGCTAGTTCGAGACCGTGGCTAATTCCTGGTTGGAGATTGAACAAACGGGTTGGTAGAGAAACTAGAGCAGCTCAGTTGGGAGACAGAGCGATGATGTAACTGCAACATATGGCACTTCCTGCTCTCCGAATCGAAGAGCCAATGAATACATAAAGGCCCATAATTGATGACGTGCGGAATGGTGTTCTTGTCACAATTTAATTGCCCCCTTTTGCTCGAAACGAGAAGGGAAAAGTCATGCCCATCCACCCACGGAAAGCGCGTGCTGAGACCGCTTCGGCAAATGGCGGCGGAAATTAATGGGAATATGTTTCAGAAGAACATAAATGGAAATGGAAAGACATGTGTACGGGACACATGAGGGCAATCGTGTCACCAACTCCGCCTACAACGCTCATTAAAATGCCAAGGGCCTAGGGATGTATGGGGGTTAGGTTCATAACGTAGCCATGGGTTCGGGCTTCGGTTCCTGGGGAAAATCATCTTATCAGTTCCGCGGAACAGGCGTCCCAAAAAAAAAAAAGATAATGTAATTTATTCCGACACTTTCATAAAAAGACAAAGATAGAGAGGGAAAGAGAGGGCAGAGAGACCCAAAATCCTCGGCAACAAAGCAAGACATTATCGCCGCATAATTAATGCCACATGTTGCAATGACGCTGCAGCGGGACAATAAAACGCCAGTCGGTCGCTCCTTTGTGTCCCGCGGAGGTGGAGTTCTTTCGATATGAAATCCCGCAGCTTGGATCCGCGGTACCCATGAGATATCATAAAGCCATCCCGCTTTTAATTGCCCGCCTAGCTCGTTTCCATATTGAGCCCTCCAAGTCATTTGCATAAATTTATCCAAATGAAAATCAGCGACGGAAAAGCCTGAAAATCCTGTCCCGTAGACTCTTCTCCCCCTTCTTCCATCACTTTTCTCCGTCCGCTTTGGCTTCCATTTTCGTTGGCATTGCGCATGCGCCGCTCAGCCATTCGGTGGCCATTATAAAATGGGCGGAGCCAAGAGCCGTTAGCTCACCACGGGCTCAGCGGGCTGTGGTGAGTTTCGAAAGCGACCCTTGTTGCCTGCCAACTGAGGTGAAAAAGAGACAGACGAGGCAGGAAACTGAACCCTTAGATATCGGGTGTCCATGACAGTTTCACACAGTTCTGGGAAATTTTTAGGGCCCGCATGTCCTTTGCATTTGAAATGTTTTACACTTTCTGACAGTTTTTGTGAGCTCTGATTTTCTAAAAATAACTTAAAACATATTTTTATTGTAACTGCTTAGGGAAAATGTGTACTTTTGGTGGATGAGAAATTATTTTTTACCGGGTAAATGAGTTCTAAAAAGAAGTAGGAACTATCTCCTTGTGAGTTTTAAATTTGCAAGTTATTTCACAATATCAAAAAATCAATTATAACATATTTATGTTTTAAAATGGAAAATAAATGAAATTAAGGAACACTGAAATACTATTTTTTGCTGCCTAAAATCCCGCTCTTTTTTATCAAAATATTTTCGAAAAATTATATGATCGGATAATAGATCAATATATCAAGCAATCGACATGTATTATGGTTGTTCAAAGATTAAAAAATCAAACAAAGTTGTATTTTGTACCAAAATTCTTAACCATTTTTATCAACTAAAAAGTTTTTATAGTTTTGTTTGGTCATATAAAGGCCTTAGCTGCTATTGCTCCTAGCCAAATTTTAGCTCTTAGTTTTAACTAATTGTAAGCCTTATGTAAGTAAATAAATAAATAAATAAAAAAATAAATAAATAAATGAATAAACAAATAAATAAATAAATAAATAAATAAATACAAGTTCTGCTTGGTCAAATGAATTTTGCGACCAACACAATTCTACAAAATAGTAAAACAAAATTTTGAACTTTTATCATTATATGATGAATGAATGATAAACAAAAAATACGTTTTTACAGATTTTTAAAAAAAAACCATATTTAAATATTTATACATATACCAAAAATATTTATACATAATTTTCTGGTATAAAATAGGGCAGAAAGTGAGGGCTATTTCATATTTAGTAGAACAGCTAACGGCAATGGTTCTAGTTATGGTTGAGGGTCCATCCTCTGAACTCCAACCAAAGCTTAGAAAAGGCCCAAGTAGTAGTATAGGTGAAGTATAATCTACCTTAAATATCTCGGCTTACAATTATGATAAATTCAAAATTTTTTAAAAATTATCCTATTAATTTTTCAAAAATAAATTATAAACTGCGCAATCGTTGAACTACCTACTAAGTAAGAGGTTGCATTGTTTTGCAGCAGTTGTCTCCTTCCCTCTCTTGATCTTTAAAACAAATTTAAGAATGAAAAATAAATATAAAATTTCGAATATATTTAAAATATTTTTATCACAAAATTGTTCAGCCAAAATATCGGACAGAAACAAGTTATCGAAAATTGTCTACGCTTTGTCTACACACCAGCATGCCGGTGAGCGACCTCTCGTGTTGGTGTTACACCTCCTAGTTCCGCTTACCCAGGGCCAGATGGCGCTGCAAGCGAGACCTTAGGGAACTGGAAGCACTCTTTCTCTCTTCTTATTGTCGAAGCGGAGAATTGAACTCTTCGCTCGCCCGACCAACACCACTGCAGCTCGGAGTTTGCCGCTGTGTGAGTGAGTCTGATTTGAATGTATTTGTGCTGATTGGCGTTGACGTCGACGCTGGATTTCTGCCTTCTGAGCAGAAAAATGCTGCCGAAAGCATTCCAAAACAGTTTTCGAAACTCTGAATAAAATTCTCTCTAATTTGGAGACCAACAAGAATCGAGGAAAATAGGTTTCCCAGTTCAGTTTTCCTAAACATTCTCATTCCGAACCAAATAATTTATGAATCGAATGTCCAACTGACATCCATTTTACAAATTAAAACTGGTTGCTATCGCTTGTTTTTCCAATTGATTTATGGCCAGCATAAAAATTTGAATGGGAGGGAAAACTGGTCAAAGGAAAATCGAACACGTGTGCCAAACTATCAAAGGCAAAGGAAACTTTTGACAGGCCATATAAATTCTAAATGAGATATTAATTAAACAAATTGTCAGCCGTCGACGTCGAGAACAAAAACCATAATTTATATGCCAAAAGATTGGGAAATCATCTTCGAGTGAGACGTCAGCCGGAGGTTCGATGGAAAACTCAAGTAGCCGATAAATTTTCAACTGGCAACGGGTCTGGAATTTTAAAACAAACCAAAAAAAATGAAAACCTCAACTGATTACAAATGAAAATGCCCGCCTCAAGTGGCCGGGCACTTGTGCTGGTTGCATTTTTATGGTTGGAAATATTTTGAAAAATGGAAAACTGCAGCCATGATTTTCCCGGCTTTCCAATATCAAAACTTGTTTGACAAATGGCCTCTTTCGATTGCCGATTACTCAAGTGCACTTTGCTTCGAGATTTTCGGATTTTCTCTGGTAAGGACCCTCGTCAGTGGGCATAATTCGCTTGTCAAAATAATCGGAGAGGAAGTCGTAAATTCTCAAGTTAATCATATTCCAAAGGGGAAAAGGCAAGGTACTTGCCTGCCTTGCATCTGCACTTCAATCTTTTTTTTGGCGGTTTTTCATTTGCCACCCGCAAAGTGAGATTTCTTTTCCTTTTTAAAAGCCCAACAAAAAAACAAGCCAGGTGTCTTGGCTTTGCGCTCTCTATCTGAACTTCACGCACGGGCTTCATTAATGAAGACACTGTTAAGTCTATAAAATTAAGAATTCATACTAAGACAAAGCAGAAGTTTGGTTTTTGGCACAGTGGAAGAGGATAGAGAAAGGTTAAATTATGGTTTTAAATTTATGTA